AAAATTAAATTAAGACTCCTTTTTAAGTAATTTATTTCTATTAACCCTATCACTGCCAAATGTGGCCAAAGACAAATTTCGACCAGATTTCCAAATTTCGTTTTGTAAAATTTTGAAAAGCAAATAGCACCGTGTGTAAGTACAGGCAGAGAGCTTTCATTTGAATGGTCACATCATAGAATTTCGTCCGCAGACTCAAAAGCCAGAGCCGCCGTACAAAACTCCATCAAACACTCTGGCAGTGAAAGGGTTAAGGAGGTATACGAGTGAGGGGCAACATTTTTAATAGAAGGTATGTACTAAATGGGTACATTTTCTGTCAAAAAAAATGGTATATAAAGGGGTAAGGGGTCGGACCTCAGAGTGGATCCTCCCCCGTATAAGGCCTTGTTGAGTAGCCCTCTCTTGATCAAGGAAGTCAGGGCAGTGAGTGTGATCGAGATTAAGCAAATGATACTCGTGCTGAGTCTGAAGGCTAATCATACACTATTTAAACAAGCTGTATCTAGTGACAACATGAATTTCTAATGAATCAGATTTAAAAATGTACTAGACAGCCGAACGACGGCTGAAGACTTGGGGCTAAACTAGTATCGTTTGCAAACGTCGCCATGCTCCTGGTGCAACCTCGTTCCCAGGGCTCTCTCCTACCAAAATATAAGTCCACAGCGACAAAACCGTTGGGTGGTGCCGGATTTCCCAGTCGTAGACGTGCAGTGATCAGTACAATAACAGCTTGTATAAAATATAGAGCGGCAAACTGATCCTTACGGCAAGGTGATGAACAAGTAAAATGACGAAAGAATAAGGCAAAAAAATCTATATTTAAACAAATTTGCACAGTATTTTGGGTTGAAAGACAAACCTTCTTCATGGGCTAAAAGAAAGGGACAGGCGGTACGGTTCTCTCCTAGCCGTACCGCTTTTGCTCCGTGGGGATGGGTCAAGGAGAGAACCCTAGGACGAGGTTGGCTCCCGATGTAGCCATGTAGCCTATATATTGTCGCTGGTGCATCAGGAATAAAATGGGGAAGGAAGTGGGCTTGCTCTAATTGGCTGTCAAAGCTCGAAGGTGGTTATCCTGTTCTATTTACCTCCAATTCGGTTAATAATATTGTTAAGTAATGTTAGAGAAGCCGCGGCATTAACATCCGATAGTGCAACGTCCTCTAAAGGGTTATGATTTCTAGCTGTGGTTGCACATGTTATGCTTTATATTAACCATAACTTGTGATAAAAGTTGTGTATACCTCATAGTTATTTAGAGTGGAGGACCAGGGAGGCTCGCAAATTCGAGGGGGTGTGCTTATTTGAAGAGGGGCCCTAATTCAAGCCTTTTAACGTACTGTAACTGTGAGTCTTACCAGGACAGAAGATGTGGACGGTGTTTATTCGAAATGTGTTATCTGGGCCTACTACGTCAAGGGAAAACAGTATGTTCATTTGTTACGTCACTATAGCAATAGAATAGTTTTCTAGCCAGCTTATTCTTTCCCAGTTCTCCGCGTTTCCCAGATGAAAGTAGGTAAAGGCAGCGAGCAGAGGGATGGAAAATTCAACTAAAGCAGAGAACATATTTGGTTCATATATCTTTATTTGAAACTCAGCTTCACATTCCCTTGCACAAACTATATGACCACAGCATACCCATGACTTCATGTAGTACTACACTAGAACTGTATCTATTGCTTACCCATTACACAGTGAAGTCGTCGGAAAATTAGGAGCCCACGGTCACTTGTAATCAGCCGTCAATGCTTTTAAAAGCGCTAAAGAGAACTGAACAAAGAGCACGACTGATCGACTTAGAACAGACGGAGACAATCAGTTTTGGCCTGCCTGGTGAACTAACCATAAGATAGCGATTGTGAAAGGTAAGAATTTTTTCCGTTACACCGCAAGACGCTACGGTAGACCACGTACAATGCCTTTTAGTCACAACGCGCACGCGAACCAAATTGAATTAAGTTCAAACACAACTCTGCTGAGATTCCTGTGTGCTGCGGACCGGGCGGAGAGAAATAAAGTAGAGTTTCAAGTGGTAGGGGGAACGGGACGTGGCGTATCGGAAAACTAAATAAGATAGGAATAAAAGGAGAAAGATTTTTTTTCCTTCGGCTAGACCATATTGAGGCTTTTCTTTTGTCTTACTTAATCGGGCCAGTTCATGGGCGCGGGGAATACGATTCTCACTTAATCACGCTCTGTATAAAACACGTGTTTCGTTATGATTTAATTTTCTGCCCTCTACGAATATTGATTCTTCGGCTGAACAAGATCATCAGAGGCGCTAACGCATTTTATTTTTTTTCTTTATTATGAGAACAAAATAGCCAGAGCTGTTTCTCAGCTACGTTTTTACCCCGGTGAAGAGAATGAGAGAGGTACTGGCGAGGTACCTTACTGAAATAATGTCTTAAATTTGACACTGCTTTGTATTCGTTGATTCACCCAACGAATGGTGTTATCAATTATTATTTTTGTTATCAATATTTATTTTTTATTTATTATGTTATGCGATGTTTTGTTTTGTTTTGTTTTTGTTTTTTAAACTGAAAAGTTTCAGACACTCAACGGAGAGTGGAGCGTGTCCTAACTATGTTCTCTGACAAGAGAACTTTTAATTCCATCTTGCCTCCAAACTCAGTGGAGCTGAAACGACTTCAAATGTGGTTTTCAAAGCTGTTATGATCAATTCACGAAACTTTTTCTGGTCTCATTTATATTT